ATAATGTATATAATAGTGAGTAGGTATAATATATAGAAATATTATTTTAATAAATAATGGTGTATGCTATATTATCTGAATATAAAATGGTTTTCAAGGGCATAAAACGAATATAATACCCGGGTACTATTCTATGGAGGTATTTTTTGATGGGAATACTTAGTAGAGCGCTATAAGGTAAATATAGATCTGCTAACTTATAATCATCAATAAAATGTTCAACAATTTTCCTAGACCGCTTCGAAGTGCTTCTCTGTAGAATCGATATGCCGCATTTGCAGCACCTTTTAAAATAGATATGTCTTTATGAGATAATTTTTTGGATAGAAAGCATAATTTAATACATTTAAGAATTATTGCTGTTGTAAGATGTCACGTTCTAAAAAATATGCATTTGAAAAATGTTTGAAATTTCATTGATTCCTAAAGATTATAAATGTTATGCAAGAAAAATTAACGATAATAATAATGTGATAAGGTAAAACCTGCATCAGAAGTGGTTACATTATTGATGCACACCAACAACTAACCCTAATTAATTGTAGATTGCATCAAAAAAACAACTTAAAAAACACGAATTTTACCTTTTTCATATTCACAAAAATCAACTTAGGCAATAATTCTACAAAAAAAGATATCTTACTTGTTAAGTAAGAACCATAGTTTTTTTTTCATTGTCTGACAGTTTAAAACCATCATAATAAGCTATTTGATTTGCAATTTTTAAAAGTTTCGGTCGTTCAGCAACGTATGCTGCTACTTCATAATCTGATCCGAATAAGAGCGTTTTGCGGTTATTAGATTAAACTTGTGATCATGAATGAAACTTGGTGAACGAGAATGTTGTAAAGAAGAGTGTAGTAAACGAGAACGTTGTAAAGAAGAGTGTTGTGAATGAGAATGTTGTAAAGAAGAGTGTCGTGAACGAGAACATTGTAAAGGAGAGTATCGTGAATGAGAATGTTGTAAAGGAGAGTGTTGTGAATGAGAATGTTGTAAAGGAGAGTGTTGTGAATGAGAATGTTGTAAAGGAGAGTATCATGATCGTGAATAGGAATGTTGTAAAGAATATCGTGAATGAGAATGAGAGCAGTGTAAAGAAGAATATCGTGAACGAAAACGAGAATGTTGATGAGAACCTTGCAAAGAAGAATATCGTGAACGAGAATGAGAATGTCTTGGCAAAGAATATCTTGATCTTGATTGAGATCGAGAGCTCAATGACCGAGAATTTGAGTGTTGCATTTGAGAGTCTTCAGCATTGCTGCTCATAAGTACTTTATTAAAATTGTTTTCAAGTTCATGCCTCTTGTTAATTTTGTTCTGATCATTATGAGTTCTGTTATTCTTGACTGTAGGCGTATTTTTTTTATTTGAGGACGTGAGTGCTTTTTTGCTTGTAGACGCAGTATCTTTCTTGGAGGTACGTGAATCTTGTTTTGAAATGGCTTTTTTAGACATTGAAAA